AAATAAATACTATAATAATTTCTATTTTACTAGAACAAGGAATGCTGGAGTGACCTTTGGAATTGCAGAGAATATTATTTTTTAAACAAGCACATCTTTTTCGTCACACTGTTTTTTACATGAGCATTTTTTGAAGCCCTGACCTGTACTAACACTTTGGGTTGTAGAGACAGACAAGAGTGGTTCAGGTTCAGGTTCAGGTTCTTTATTGCCGTACAAAGGTACAAGCCCGGTACCGCATAAGCACAACCGGTTTGAAAACGCATACAACAGTAAAGTTACAGGAATAGAGTACATAACATAGCATAACATGATATTCGATAAAAATCAATTATATACATGGTATGAAATAAAAGATGGGACTGTAGATACGGAGCACTATATACATAACATGATATACAAAGCAGTTTAATTGCATACTAGAGATCGCGTAACAAATAAGAATGACTTTATATACAGGACATTGAATTGGAACACAATATACAAGACAAGTACATGTCAACGGTCAAATACATAGTGGAATTGCATAGCAATATGAATAAGTTATAAGTGGTGGTATTTATGTTGCTAGGAGGTGCTAGTTGAAACGTTGAGAGCTGCAAGTTTACAGTATTTGTTGACTAGCTGATTGAAGTAAACGTAAGTGGAATGTTCGTTGATCAACTCGTTGCAACTACAGGGCCAGTCCTTTCCCCGAGAGTTGATTATAATCTTTAAATGTTGCCGCTCAGCATCGAGCATTGGGCAGTTGAAAATATAATGAAGTGCTCCATCCTGAGTGCCACAGAGGGAGCATGTATTGTTCGAGTAGTTGGTAAATCTGTTAAGATAGCAGTGGAAATTACCATGGTTGGTAAAAAATTGCGATGTGGAATGGTTGAGTTTCAACCATTTATAGTTATAAATGTCTGAGATATGCGGGAAGAAGTTATTGGTAATTGATTGACGGTTGTTGTTCCAGTCATTCTGCCAGTTTTCGAGGAGATTGTTCCAAAGGATGTGCTTTAAGGTGGAATTGCTCATATTATTATAACTAGTGGTGAGAGTGAGGTCAGTGGCAGCCTCCTTTGCTAGTTCGTCTGCCCGCTCGTTACCAGGATTACCCTGATGTGCACGAGTCCAGTTCAAGAAATATTCATTGGTGGAATGACGAATAGTGCAATAAATATCAGTAACTAGGTAGTGTGGATGTTTGTTTTTAATGNCTGTAAGAAGCAGAATAACCTAATTGAAACAACTAGGAAAAACAGTAACTGAATATACTAGTAACTTAAAATTAACTTATAGCTATCTTAAATCTAACTTATTACTAACCTAAAACTAGTTATACTAACTTAAAATTAACTTATTACTAAACAAAAATACTGACAAGGATAACAATCAGACAGACTAGAGCATGCAATGACAAAAGACTAACACTATGTTGCTGTTTACTATAAAATTACAAAACACATCTTTCATACTTTATTGCTGTAAAAGAATGAAAGGTGTGTATTTATATATATAAACAAACTTCCAATATCTCCTTGTAACATTTCATGAATGAATGTATTTTATTTTTAATGTTTTAAGCTAAAACATTACATCTTTACAATTATTATATATTAATTATATATATGTTACCAATAAAGTATTGAATACTGTTATTCTACAGAATACATACCTGATTTAGGTAAAGTATAGAATGAATTAAAAATTACATAGTTTAACTAGTTATTCTATGAATTAATTTACCATTGTTAGTTAGAATATAAAATAGAAGTAATAAAATAAATGCATGTTAAACTTGTCAAATTATTATATTTAATGTAATAAATAAATAAATACTATAATAATTTCTATTTTACTAGAACAAGGAATGCTGGAGTGACCTTTGGAATTGCAGAGATTATTATTTTTTAAACAAGCACATCTTTTTCGTCACACTGTTTTCTACATGAGCATTTTTTGAAGCCCTGACCTGTACTAACACTTTGGGTTGTAGAGACAGACAACAGTGGTATCTCAATGTCCAATATTTTGTCAATTGATATTAATTTTTGTTCACAGACACTAAATTGATTCCTGCAATATAATTGCTTGAGGTGCCCATTTCTTGTTCGCATTTGATTGACTAATTTCTTCTATAATAACAGCAAGAATGGATCTGGCATCTCCTTGTCTCTGTCAACATCACGCACCGGGATACAAACTCTCATTCCTACAGATGCCTCAGAACGTGATTTTTCTGACAGTATTTTCATTTTCTTTGCTGGTATTTCCAAACATTCTTTGGCCTCTTTTCTTTCTTTCTGAACATTCTGTTTATTTAAACATAACCAGCAGATCTTCTGTTCAACGTCATTTTCTGAAATGTAGCTTTCTAGGTGATCCTCAGAATCCCTTGAGCAAATGTCACATAATATAGATTCGGCTTCTTCAACCAGTATCCTTATTTCATGTTGCAGACAGAGCATCTTGCAAATCATCTTCATTATTCAATGAATTAAATGCTTCCCCTGAAATTGGTGTCAACAGTCCCACCTTTGCTGCACACCCAAACATATCTTTGTAAGATCTGCTCTCTATACAGAGTGGAATGCTCTATTTTTCATGATCGGAATAAATTTTAGATTGTTACTCCATGTGGTAGATTGATTATCTTGTATCCAGGTTGTCAGCATATTTTCTATGTCTTGGTTGGCCCTCTCTAGGTTTCCTTGACTCTGTGTCTTTGTTTCCCATGTACAATTTTAAGTTGTTGCCAAATTATTTTCAAATCTTCTATAAGCTTATTGGAAAATTCACAACCATTATCAGACTGAAGGATGCAGGATGCACCAAGAAGCAGAAATATATCAAGTGTGTATCAACTTCTTCAGCCCTCTTTGTTTGTAGGGGGTCTTAATACAACAAACTTAGTCAAATGATCTTAGTACACTAAAATAAACTTATAGTTTCCATCAGGTTGAGACTGAAAATATATCAGATCTACCTGACATCTTGAATTTGTATGTGAAAATATTATTGGCTTTACAACACCTTTTTTCCCCATGTTTCATTTTTGTTGATAAGACTCATAAACACTCAAAAACATCATGATATCTCTTTGAGTAATATTTTTGTAACAACGATTCAGTTCTTTCATCGTCCAATCTCTGCCACCATGTCCAATAGAAATATGTGTTTCGTACAGAATATCAAACAGATCATTACTTGAAGAATAAAATATTACTTCTGTTTCTGTACCATTATGTGGATCTATTAATTTCTCTGTTCCTGAACTTCCAGAACATCATAATTTTGAAGTAACCAGTAATCTCTACGTTTTTTCTTGTCAGTCACTCTAGCTGTCTTCACTTCTCATATAAATCATAATAACTTTTTATGAGTTAGAAAGGAACTATTATCTTTTACATTACACTCACTTAGAAGTGATTCATACCTTGCTTTCATAATCTCTTTCTTATCCATTTCACAAAAAGAAATTATACAAAAAATGGTTTAAAAAACATAAGTAGAAAAATTTTACAATTGTCTGAGCACTGAGCAAAACTGGAAAGAAACAACTGATAATTTCACTAAATATCCCAAATCCTGATATGTATATGATGTCTAACTTCTACCTCTGGTACCAAATTACTTAGTATCTAATTATTAATAATGGCAAATTTATAGTTTGATTATTTAAGGTGATTGTTTAGTTGAACTGATAACTTGAATGGACTACATCAACAGTAGTTGGGATGGCTCCAACTCATTATCTTTATCATTGATATATTCCCTGAACTTCTTAAACAAAAACAATTTTTATTCCATATTTTAATGATGCAGTGATCGTTATTTTATGTAATACCTAGTTAAAGTATAGAATGCCAGAACATTATACATTTTAATGGGCCTGTTTAAGTATTCTAATAACTAGATATTCTATAGAATAACAGATTGTAGACTTTAATGGTAACATATACATTAAATTAAAGCATTTATAATAGCTTCTAATTGTCTATATAACTGCCTACTTTAAATTTTATTTGTGTTTAAGAAATAGTTATTAAATAATAATAAAAAAATCACTATTTCTTGTTTTAAAAATAAAATGTTTTGATTATAATAATAATATATATGAATTAATTTTAATTTTTAGATGATTCTTTTACTAATCTTTCTTACTTATATGGAATCCTGAAGTAAGCCAAGCTTTAAAAAATTTTTTTAATAAGAGTAAATAATAATTCAGGTTATAAAAAATTTATTATATGCTCACAATATAATTAATACAGTTTATAAAATTGATTTTTTTTCTGACAAATTAGGTAAACTTTTCTATAGTTATCTATTGAAACATTACATAAAATGTNAAAAAAAAAAGCACAAAATTGCAAAATCAGCCAAAAATTGCAGTAATTATAGTTTGATTATTGAATAATTTAATAAAATAAATATTAGTTTTTTAAACTGTTTGTTAAGAAAGCCAAAAATAAGAAAAATAAGAATTTGTTCAAAATGTTTTCAGCCAACTTAGCTAACTTCATTCAAACATGTTCAACAAGTTGAGTTATATAATAGAGCATAATATTTTCTGTATTATGTTCTAAATTATATAAATCTATTATTTTAAAATTGATATTTTGTAGTAAAAAATTTCATAAATACATAATTCTTTATAAATATTCATTTCTTTTCTCTTTTTTTTAAACTCTTTCTGCCCTACGGGCACTAAGAGGGCCTCTTTTTAGCAGGCCAATTATGGATTCAGCCAGACCCAGAATGGGGCAGCCGGGTGGTGAGGGACAGGGCCCGACATATCCAGACAGACCACCCCCTGGAAATTTCCTGGGGATTTTTCGACCTGTTTGGAATTGATTCCAAGTCCCCCAGAGCAGTAGGTAGGCTGCTACCTTAACCGCTCAGCCATCCAGCCTATTTTTTTTTTCCCTATAGTTAGTAAGAGTATCTTTTCCTTTAATCATATGTCATCATGAACATATGAACATAACTAAAAGAAAATGAGTATGATTATGGATGAGTATGATGGATATGAGTAAAAGAAAATTGAGGAGATTGGTGAGGAATAAGATCAAACATTCAGGACAAGACCACCCATGAAAAATTCTTAGAGTTATTCTCCAGACTTGATCTCAAGTCTCTCAGAGCAGCAAGCTGACACCTTTACCATCTCAGCCATTTATATTTATTTATATCCTTATTTGAATATTATACATGCTTTTTCAGTTTTTTTTAAACATTTTATAAATATAATAAAATTTTAAAATTTCTATTTTTCTTTTTCTTTTAAATAACAGTCATGTTTAGTTATATGTTATAATGATCTATTTATATTCAACATGATGATTTTAAGTTAATATTTTGCTGTATTTTTCTAAAAAATTATGAATAATTTTTTAATAAGTTAAGCCTTAAGGTAACTATTAAATTCAATTAGATTCATTTTTCAATATAAATTGAAATATTCTTTATAGCTAATAGAATTTGAATAACTTATGAAATTAATACTTGGTTATAGTTTTTTGTATTTTTAATATAGAAATTGTAATCAAGTTTGTATTTCTATTTAGATTTGTTATGTACAGTACTGTAAAGTAGAAATTGTACTGTTGATTATAAATATGCTGTATTAATAATTCAAATTCTAATTAAATTTAAATTGTTTACTTGATATTTGTTTTAAAGAAGTAAGTGTTTTCAGAATTTCTATGTAAGTATTTGTAATAAAACAGTATAAATTTAATTAATGAAGCTTTCAATTAAAACTTTTCAGCATTACTTTAAGAATATTGTATACAATTTTGGGGATTATAATTAAAGAAGAAGGAGTTCATTTTAGAGATCCAAAAGCTACAATCTTAATTTCAAATCATGTAACAGTTTTTGATCATATTGCTATTGATTTGATATCACCATGTGTACTGGTAAGATAAATAACTTATTCAAATTTATTGAATCTTTAATTTTAAAGAAAGCATTAAATTATGTAAACTTGTCAAAAATAACATTAAGCCAAATGATTGCTTCATTTTAATTGGGCAACTTTTAAAATATGGCAATCATTTGGATTATTATTAAACATCAGGCTTTCAGATGTTTATATATGTACAAAAATAACATTATCATTAATTTAGATTTTAGACAAAATTTCATACAATTCATAATTTAATATTATGTTTAAAGAAGTGTGACATATTTTTCACAAATTATTATTATTATAAGAGATTTAAGATTATTTAAAAAAGTTTCTCCATTTTCTGTTTTATGTACTCACTTGAATGACTATTCAAGTGAGTATATTAAGTATTCAAGTAAGTATATTATTAATAATTTTTTATTTCATGATGATGAACTTTAAAAAATGCTTTATATTTTTATTTTGTATAATGTAAAAGATATAAAACTGAAATTTGTATCAAATTTACTTAAATTAATGTTGCATTTAATATCTTTTGAAATGAGTATCTCTATATTCTGCATATTTTTTCTATTGTTAAATCAGATATTCCAAAATATTTTCCATAATAAACAGTACTGTTTTTTTGCAATACTGTTTCCTCATTACTCAACCATTATTAATGTTTTAAGCAAATTGTATTCCATGTTAGGTATACCTTAATGAGGAAAAAATAAAAAAAATGAATGAAACTGATACAATATGCCAGTGTTAGTTCAGACAAAATTGATGATTGTTTTACCTTCATTAAACTAAAATTTTATCTTATTACTTTGAAGACTATAGTATTTTAGTAGTATATTCTTCAGGTTTGAAGTGAAATAAGAAAGATACAGCATGCTACTACTAGATCAGATTATAATTAAAAAAATAATGAAAAGTCACAAAATTCAACTGGTGTCTTAGTCATTTTTTTGTTTAAATCTACTCCTTTTGTTTTTTGTTGTTTTTAATGTTTTGTTATAAACATTTCAGTGACAACAATATTGTTGCTATGAAATGTTAATATCAGTCAAGAAATAACTTTATAGGACTGACAATAGTATTGTGCTTACTTTTATTTAAAGAAAATGCATTAAGAATATAATGGTAATAAAAAAAATAATAATAAAAATATTACAGTTTAAGTTCTTCTGACATTTAATACCAACATTTTTTTAATGCAAACTTCAGTTTCCATTCGTTACTTTTAAAGTGAGAAAAATTGTAATGTATATTTTTATTTTATCAGTACTTACATTTTATCTGGATTGTAAAGATTATGTATCATCATATGACTGAAATAGATTGCTCAACACAGGAGATTTTTAAATGTATTGAATGTACTGTACAGTACAGTACATCTTTGAATGAACTGAAATATTGAATATTGGCTTTCAGTTTTAAAATGTTCTTTATTTTATCAGTAAAATGAGAAATATTTTCTTGGTTTGTTTTCTGGTTATCATATTTCTTGAAAAATGTGATGATAAAATAAAAGGATTCTGTTCAGACTAAATAAATTTATTATATTTCTCCGATATTGAGTTTGTCCAATGATTTCTGATAACTATTTTTCTATCTGTTTATATAGTTTATAAATATTATGTGATGATTTGTAAACATGAATCAATATATTTATTATTTCTTATTGTATGTAATTAGGTACATAGTTTAGGTTTTACCAAAATTTATTTATTAATTTTTTTCATTTGCATTCTACATGAATATGCTATTTGTTGATTATTATTTGCTATTATGATGCAACATATTAAGTAAATAGTATAATGGAAACAATTGCCAATCCAATAGTATGTGGGCACATCAGAATGTTCCCAGTATCAGAGTCAGTTTGTTTTACAAACCAATGCTCTGATCTCATTCTCTCTCTCTTTATTATTATTATTATTATTACTGTAAAGAAATGAGAGAGATCGGAGCATCAGTTTGTAAAATAAACTGATAAACTGATGCCAATATATTGGAAATATTTTGATATGTCAGTTAGGTTTGGTAATGATTACATTTCTATAATATAAATTAATATTCCCATTTTTTTAAATCAAATGATGTTGCAAAATGTGTATAAAAGTCTGATATTTTGTAGATATATTGAAGATTTTGTTCACAGTTGAAAAATTAATATAATAATAATTTTAAATATACAGTATGCCAGCCAGGGCTGTGGAGTTGGTAGATTTTTACATGCCTCTGACTCCGACTTTTCCTTACCATCCAACTCTGACCAGGGGATGACTTGTTAACAAAGTAGGCCCAAAAATTCTGACGTCATCATGTGACCTCAGTATATAAGCTTCAATAAATATAGTTCTAATAAAGATAGAATGTAGAAACTTTTTTATTCCAAAGCTAAAATACTCCTCTAAGTAATGACATAGTCAATATATAAATATGTATTCAATAATTTTTACTTTTCTGGCTGTTATATATAACAGAGGATAAGTGTTGCAATTGGTCAAAAAATTATTCCACTCCAAATTTTTGCATTTTTGGACTCGGAACACCTCGAAATGTTGAGACATGCAAAAGATTCAGGTTTTCTTTTCCTGTATGTATGAATGTTAGACTGTATGGGAGGCACGAATTTTTTTTTTTTTTTGGAATTGGAATCAGATGGTTTAACACAGGAGTTATTAAGCTTCAAAGTGGTTGAACTAAATCGGTTGGTACACATTCTAATATCTGTGTGTACAGAAAAAACCCTGAATGATTTTGCAATTCTGTACGTTTCAAGGCTTCAAATGTTCAAAAGAGTAAAAATCTGGGAAAGTCATTTTTTGACTGATAATCATTCTTTTCCTTTGTTATATATAGGCCTATACTGTATAACTGCTGGGAAAGTAATAATGATGAAGATTCTGATTATTTTTTAAAAATACAAAATAAAACGATTTTAAAAAACTAATTAATTTAAACATTAAAATTTGACATATCTACTGAATATATATATTCACATTTATTGACTTGTTTGATGATGGCAATGGTATTTGGTAAGCATGTATGAATAAAAATAGTAAATATATTTGTACACAAACAAATTAGTTTAATAAAAATGTTGTACATAATACATGAGTATATTGGGTAATATACATAAGTATACAGATACATTAAACTAAGCCAAGAATAAGAAATATAACATTTAGACTGGTAAAGAAAAAAGGTTGCTTATTTTATCATGTTGATTAATTTATTATTTTTCATTTGTTATAAACTGAATTACTCCCTACAAAAAAAATCACTTCTATTAACCCATAGGATTTTAATATAAAATTAAATAGAATACATCAGTTATAAAATTTAATTAGGTAAATTTAAAGTTTGTAAATTGTAAAAATATTTGAAATTTGAATTCAAATCAAATGTAGAATAAGATAGAATGAACATTCTAAATGGAACACATATAACTAACCTGAAACAGGGCAGTCAAGTTGTTTGAAAACATTTGTTGTTTTTAAGATATTACTGGAAGAAAACTAAGGTTACTGAGGTGATTTATATTTATCTTCTATATAGTTTTCATGTGTTTTGATGCTGGCTGATTAGTGATTATGCCAATATTCCACTTACTACAATCTTTCAATTGGAAAATTATTGTTCAAGTAGCTTATATGAAATTATAAAATAATCTCATAGGACGAACAGAATGAAAGAAACATCTAAATATGCTGTTTAAGTAGAACTAGAAGTAACTAGTATGTCAATACTTACAGGAATGGTGAAAAGGTTTAAATATGTTCTATTGTTTTTGTGTTAAACTCTAATTTTGAAACATTAATTTATGTAGTGATCAGAATCAAGACTCCCACTGAGCTCTACATAAATTAATGTTACGGTTACATAATAACTTTTTGTTGTACTTTTATGAAATGAAACTTCACATTTATTAATATTGTTTTAAGTTTGGAAATATGAAGTTTGCAATATTACCATAATTATGATTTGAAAAAATATATTAATTTGTTGTTAGTTAATTCTAAAGATATTCACAATTTTAAATCAAGTTGAAAATTCATAAAAATATATTTTGAGTCCATAGATTCATTTGTTCATATTCATAATGACTTATTTGTAAGTGTGTGATTATTCCAGAAAATTTTGTTTTTTCTAGTAATATTTTTTCATTAATAATTTTAGTTTATTAAAAATTATTAATATGCTATTTTGAAATATATTACAAATATTTTGTAATGTAAATAGATTTTATGTTTCTTTTTCATTATGGTAATTATTTAAAAAGAAAAAACTGGATTCTCTTAGTAATTATTTTTTTAATATTTGAAATTGTTTTCTATCATAGTTTAGTAACTATTATTAAAAAGTGAATTGTAAGGAATATAAAAATGTGTTATGAAGCTATAAAAATACTTTTATTAGAAAATAATATTTTGTTTTCTGATTTATAATTTCAGAAATTTATAAGGCATGCATAGTTTTTTTTATAACATTTATGCTCAGTGAGTTTAAAGATTAAAGTTTGCATTTTACCCGGGATGTCAAAAATTAAAAAACTAGAAATAATAATGTTTTGTTTTTCTTACGAAATATTGTTTAATGTATTTAAATGTATTTGAGTTTAGGGGAAAAAGTGCAGTAATACTGGAGAATTTATTTCAAGTTATTCTAGATATAAATTCTTAACAGAAATGCAATAAACTAAACTAACTGTTGTAATATAATGAAATTTTTGAAATAATATTTAAATCTCTATAATAATAATTTGCATATAATATAACTTCAAAAATTTATTTTATCATCATACTTGGTAAGTTTAATCATTTCATATAAAATCAGCAACACATTTAGTTTTTTATTTTATTTTAAAATTTATTAAACATGAAATAAGTGATTTTGATCAATAACATGGAATAAGTGAATTTGATCAATAAGTGAGATAAATGAAATTTTACTTCTTTTTGATAATTTTAAGAATAATAACTTTCAAAACTCAAAGTTTTCTTTAAATTTTTCTTTAGTTCAAATTTATTAAACTATTAATTTTGACTTTAGTTAATGTGGAAAATTTGTTCTGAATTAATTTCAGCTGATATGCTAAATATCAGATGAAATTAATCATTTGGGGCATATTGTTGAAATATTACAACTTATTTTTTTGTATGTGAAAAAACATTATCAAACAACTTATACTGAAAAATTTTATAACTTTAGATGATATCACATCAGAATTAATCAATAAAAAGAAAGAGGAAATTTTTCTTTAAGTATCAAACATCTATTATAAATGACATAAAATGTAGAATAAATGCCAGCTGGTTCTTTTGATAAACTTAATCTTATTGTCTTCAGGCAATCAAACAGAACAAAACTGAAATTTCAAAAATGATCACTTTGAACAATCTTAAGTCACACATACACAATCACATTCCTTGTATCTAAAAACTTAATTCAAGAAAATTTGATAACAATATTCTGTGTAGATTATTATATATTTTCAAGATTCAATAAATGAACATTATTTGTTGAACTTGTCTTTACCATACAATAGACATTTTACAGGTGGAAACATTAGTTTTCCTTCAGTTTTTTTTAGTTTAAATATGACTTTGAGGAAGTAGTAAATAATTACTGTGACCACATATGTCATTGTAGTCAGGGCAAACACAAGAAAAAAGAGAAGACATCAAAGTTAGAAATGCTAAGTGAAAATTTGTATTATAGGGACTATTCGGTTGCTTATTATTTATTTCTTAATGAATTAAGAAGTGAGAATGTAGATTTTAATAATTTTTAGGGGATTTCAGTTGCTAGTTTTAATGAAGTTTTAAATTGTTTTACTCCCTTAATAAAGAAAAAAGATACAGTAATGAGAGTATCTATCTCACTTCAGGTATTTTTATATTATTATTTAATCTTTATCATGTACTCATGGTAAAAATTATCATGTAATGATATTTTAATTTTTAGATGATTCTTTTACTAATCTTTCTTACTTATATGGAATCCTGAAGTAAGCCAAGCTTTAAAAAATTTTTTTAATAAGAGTAAATAATAATTCAGGTTATAAAAAATTTATTATATGCTCACAATATAATTAATACAGTTTATAAAATTGATTTTTTTTCTGACAAATTAGGTAAACTTTTCTATAGTTATCTATTGAAACATTACATAAAATGTCAGATATACTGTATTTTTGTTGCATATAAATATATCTTTAAAAGAAGTCAGAGATTTTAATAAGAGATAGATATTTTTAGAACATACCAATTCCATTTTTAGACCAAAAACAAAAATAATAAAGAACAAAAAGAACAAAGAAGAAATTTAGATTCAAGTGGTGGCACATTTCAAACGACATAAACTCCTCCTCAGGAATGTGTGTTATTTGGATATAAATTTGTGTTTTCTTTGATTAGAAGATAAGTAATTAATATTTTTAGGGAAATCATTTATCATAATTAAAAGAGAAATTATATTCAAAAATTAATATTCCTGAACAATATGTGTTGTTTGGAATTTGCTGTTACTTGAAACTTCATAATTTTAAGCATTTTTGTCTTTTTATTATTTGAATTCTTTTGTAAATCTTTCAAGAACAATTTTTATATTTAAAATTAATTAAAATGAAAATTAAGAGAATTTTAATAAATTAGAATAATTAAAAATTAAAGGAAAACTTAAAATTTTGATATGCTAAATATACAGTTAAATTATGTGAGAAGACATTATGTTATATAAAAATACACAGAATTTTAATTAAAAGTTTTAACTCAAAGTTATAGTGAATGATTGTGATTTACTTCATTTTAATTATTAAAAATTTATTTATTTACTTTATGAATAACATATTAAATGAAATATTATACATTATTATATAATTGATATAATCATAATATAAAATCATTTAAAAATTTACTTGGAATTGATGTTTAATATTTTGCTCATATTGCAGTCAGTAACTTGGGAATTGCCACAATTTTTGCAATATGTATTAGGTTTCAAAAAGCACGAAAGATCAGGTGAATATCTTGATAGCAGTCATCGTAAGGGTAAGAATGAATTTATTTAATAGATGAAATAGTAATACCATCTTAATCTAGGTTAAGTAATAAAATAGTTATTTTTAACACATATAATTATTAATAAATAAAAATATATTATGAAAGTAACACTAAAAATTTATATACAAGTATATAGAGTGAAATGTAATAATAATCGTATAAAATTTATGTAATTATTTACTCTTTCTTGTTTTTTGTTTTCTTTCTACTCTGCATACATTAAGAGGGGATATTTTTCATATTTATCATAAGTTTAGCATGATCAATAATAGGGTAGCCTATTTGGAATAAAATATAGTAGATATTTTTTGTGGATGATATGGAAAGAATTCAATATTAAACATGTAGCATCTTTATATATATTGACAATGATATGATCATGTTTTGAATGTTGATTTCTTTTTGGTATACATTAATTTCTTAAATTGTTTTAATGAACAATTTTTTAAATTATTGCTATTGATAATTATTTTTATTAGTAATAATTATCTTTTGCATTTATTAGTTGCATTTTAGAATTAAAAAAAGAAGTTTTTATTTGGAAACCTTTGAGAAATCAATGCAAGTGAAAGATGTAACAGTTATAGGCAAAATTTATCTGTAACTTTATGTATCTTTTTCAATATTACATAAATAAATATTTTCAAAGTTTCGAAATAAAATCTTCCTTCTCAGTTTATCCATTTTAATGAACTAACCTATTCTTAGTTTTAATATACTTTAAAAAGTATTGTTAATGCCATGGGCATCTACAGAGGGGGAAATGGAGCACTTTGTACCTTCATGGATCAAGTAAAATATTCCACAAATTACAACTATGAAAGTGATTGAGATATCTAACCTTGATCATGGGACACTTTGATGCAATACTGTATTCTGTAATCCAGAAGTGGCCAACAAGTTAATTGTGATCAACTAGTTTATCAGTGTATCATTTTTGGTTGATCACAGAAAGCATGGCTCTATTAAAGTGCAGAAAACATGATAATTTTGATAGGAATATTAAATCCACATCTTTTATGGAGAAATCTTTTAGCTATTTGCTGAGTTGGTAATGGTTATAAGGTATTTATGAATGGGTATAAAGAAGTGCTCTTTGTGTTGAAGGTCATTGCTAGGTTATGTTATTTTAATAATTATTTTGTTGTGCCCTAAACACTTTTAGTTAGGTGCAAAATTAATGAGCCAAAGAGGAACAAAATTTATGACTTGGGTGACAAAAGAAGTAAAATTATTTTTATGATAAAAAAATAAATTATTATGTTTAATTTAAGTTTAGTGCATTTACTAAAAGGAGATAATCTGGAATTCATTGGCTACTGCACACACATTCATAAAATTCAAATTTATCACCCCATTAGCTATCAACCTACCTTACATAGGCTATTAAGCAATGACAGAGATAAATTTGACTTGTTGCAAAAATCAGACAATATATGCCATACCCTTAAAACATTGTCTCTCCAGGGAAACAATCAAATATATTGGAGCTACCACAAGAATGCTCAAAACATGTCTACAAGAACATTAAGAAGACATACAAAATAATAGGTACACTATAGAAGTGGCTAAAAGAGTCCTGGACCATAATTTTGAATTCCTCTGGCCCCACACAGTAATCCTTAAACAGTGTCAGGCTAGGAGAGCATTATTCCTACAAGACACATTTTATATCTCCTTCCTCCTTCCGTGTTAACAGCGCTATCCTCAAAGTTCTCAATCTATGGAGAATGTTATTTAAGTGTGGGGGCCGAGGGGGGAGAAATAAAAAAAAACTCGACGAACGATAATATGTGATATGTATCGTCATCGTCTCCCTTGCCGTTTGGATTGCCGAGCGGTAACAATCAACGACATGTGGAAGCAGTTGAGTCAGAGATAGATGCTTCGTTTACAAACAACACAACCGTTTATTAAACACGAAAGAAGCTTACAAGATTTCCGCGATCTTGGAAGTTCTGCGGCGGCTGCGGCCTCTGGGTCTTCCTCTCCTTTCCAAGATAGTCCCATTTTGAAGGAGTGTCCCTTGTTCGCGAATGAACCATTCCATCACGTCTCGACGACTCCGGGACGATGCGGTCGACTTCCGTTGATGGAAAGATGTCGATCCGAGGTCGGGAGATGGAGACGAAGATGGGTGCGAGACACACACACAACAACAGATCCGTCACTTGGAACTTTCGGGAGAAGAAGCCGTCGCGTCCTCGAATTTCCGGGGTTTTATCTGTTTTCTCTTAGATTCCCCTTTCCGATTGGTCTCCCGTCGTCACCTGATGACAATTCGAAACCTTTCGGGGCGCGGGAGAGGTCAAAATCGAAGTTTAATTCAATCTCCAACCGGAAATGGTCGACGGACTTACCTTCTTCTATTGTTTTAAAGTTAGCGTCGCGTTTTCATATAATAAAAATCTATTTCTAACTACTAAATATTTTTTCTCTAAAACAATTATTTTCCGCGAATTTTAGTGAGGGTTTGGACCTGTCCAGAGCCTCACATAAGGGGCTAAAATTGTAGAACTACAGATTGATATAAAAGAGCATTTTAATATATCTCATTTTGTATTAATGAATAGACAGGTTGCAGCCAAAGTTTTCATCTCTAAAACATAAATGTCAAACATCAAGCCCTATCTTGTAAGCTGCGCTTGACATTTGACATTCACGTTTTAGAGATGAAAACTTTGGTCGCAACCTCTCTATTAACAAAATATTTATTATGTTTATTTTTTAACAATTTTTTAATCTTTATTATAACTTTACTACATTCCATGAGTGTGCAGCTGAACCTGTTTTTTTAAAAATTTGCCTGTTACCTTCCAATCTTATTTAAATATTAAAAAATCTTGTTCGATTTGAATATAAAACAAATCAGCCTGAAGAGGATAGTCATAAACTATTGAAAGTACTTGGAAAGTATGAATAAAGTGTTGATTTTAATGCCACAAAACAGGGTATGTTATTTTAAATAAAAATCTTGATGTGAATTGCACCATTTCTTTTCATCTCTGGAATGCTAATTACTGTGCATTAAATAAGTATAAGTATGTTTTGGAACAAAATTTTATTAGGGTAGCTAATTAAGCTATTATACAAGAACAGAGATGTGAAGTATCATTGGTGTGTTTAACTCATGAAAGTCAATTCCCACCCCACTGTAAGTTGGCCAGGCCTGCTATAATCTATTTATGAAAAAATCCCAAAAAAAGTAACTAACTAAATAAAAAGTTATTGATGTAATTATTTGTCTCCAATTTTGCCCTCCTGGAAAATTTTCTGTGGATGCCCATGATTTATACTAATCTTTCAAGTGAATAAATTTTGTTTTTTAATTTTTAATAAAAATTTAAAATTTGTGGCTCTTTTTTAGATTCCAAGAATTCTGTTCTCATCTTTCCTGAAGGAGCAACAACAAATGGGCAAAGAGGTCTCTTAAAATTTGTAAATTGGCCAATTTCTTCAAATGAATATATACAACCTGTAAGTAAGCTTAAATAGAATATATATATATACACATATATTTACATTCTAGTAAACTTCAGTACATATATTACATGTACTGAATATGTAATTATTAAGATATAATTATATATATGATTTTCATAGCTATATATGATGGTTAAAAATCTTTTAAGATTTTTGGCCATTTTGTTTGTCAATTGATTAAACTGGTAACATACCAAAACAAATCATCATCATCATCATCAATAAACTTTATTGTATTAGGATTATTCCATTACATCAGGGGTATACAGTCTTTACATAACCACCATAACATTACAGTACTCTTCTTTTAATTTTAAAACAAATTAACCCATAGATAACATTATATAAATTAATTAAATTAGTCAAAAATTTTTATTTAATTATTAACAGAAACCAACTTCTCTGTTATTATCAGTTAGATTTTTGTAATCTTACAANTAACCACCATAACATTACAGTACTCTTCTTTTAATTTTAAAACAAATTAACCCATAGATAACATTATATAAATTAATTAAATTAGTCAAAAATTTTTATTTAATTATTAACAGAAACCAACTTCTCTGTTATTATCAGTTAGATTTTTGTAATCTTACAATACTTTACTATAAAACAATAAATCTTTGTATCAAAACAAATCAATTTTAAAACAAATAAGAAACATTTATAAGATATAGAAAAAATTAATAGCAGCATTATAAACTATATACAATGTTGATTCTTTGATACAATCAGCAAAATGAATAATTTTAAATCATTTCTTTACTGGAACCACGTTGATATATCCATTAACTAACACAAATGACCAAAATCATTTTTATTATGCAAGTTTCCAAGTATTTACTCAATTCTTCTACAGATGTATTTTGGTTGACATGCTCATCTGGAGAATGCTACGTTAATTAATGAGCATATCAACTGAAATGCATTCATAGAAGAGATCAATGAATAAGTGGCAAACTTTTATATTAAAAATGATTTTAGACATTTGTGTTAATTAATTTTAATTATTACAAATTTAAATGATATCTATGTACTTGAAGATAAAGATAAATCTAACCTAATTCTGATTACAACAAATTTAGTTCTATAAATGTATTTTAATATAAATATTTTGAGATATGTTCTGATAATATAAATATTTTACAAGAAGCAAATTCTGTTATTTACATACATAAACTAATTTACATACTGAATTCATAAAATTCAGTTTATGTAATAGTCTGAATGAATACATCAATACAAATTAAATTTTAAGGACTGTGTGCTTCCTTATTTATCAATATATTTTATTAAAAACTAGCAGATAAGCCTGGCATTGCTCAGGCAAAAAGTAACAATAGCGAAAATTAAGATTATTAGATTATAGCTGACCTTACTCATTTTCACCGGGTGCAAGAATTAGGTTCATTCTCTTCTGAGACTAATTATAGAATTTTAGATGGGTCTAAAAATATGTTTGATTTCCCACAAAAGTGCAAAAAACTGCATCTAAAATAGTACAGTAGAATCTGAGTTCACGGTAATCTTTAACACTCTCCCTCTGCTCCCATGGGGGAATTTTGAAAAATCTNCAGATCATTACTTGAAGAATAAAATATTACTTCTGTTTCTGTACCATTATGTGGATCTATTAATTTCTCTGTTCCTGAACTTCCAGAACATCATAATTTTGAAGTAACCAGTAATCTCTACGTTTTTTCTTGTCAGTCACTCTAGCTGTCTTCACTTCTCATATAAATCATAACAACTTTTTATGAGTTAGAAAGGAACTATTATCTTTTACATTACACTCACTTAGAAGTGATTCATACCTTGCTTTCATAATCTCTTTCTTATCCATTTCACAAAAAGAAATTATACAAAAAATGGTTTAAAAAACATAAGTAGAAAAATTTTACAATTGTCTGAGCACTGAGCAAAACTGGAAAGAAACAACTGATAATTTCACTAAATATCCCAAATCCTGATATGTATATGATGTCTAACTTCTACCTCTGGTACCAAATTACTTAGTATCTAATTATTAATAATGGCAAATTTATAGTTTGATTATTTAAGGTGATTGTTTAGTTGAACTGATAACTTGAATGGACTACATCAACAGTAGTTGGGATGGCTCCAACTCATTATCTTTATCATTGATATATTCCCTGAACTTCTTAAACAAAAACAATTTTTATTCCATATTTTAATGATGCAGTGATCGTTATTTTATGTAATACCTAGTTAAAGTATAGAATGCCAGAACATTATACATTTTAATGGGCCTGTTTAAGTATTCTAATAACTAGATATTCTATAGAATAACAGATTGTAGACTTTAATGGTAACATATACATTAAATTAAAGCATTTATAATAGCTTCTAATTGTCTATATAACTGCCTACTTTAAATTTTATTTGTGTTTAAGAAATAGTTATTAAATAATAATAAAAAAATCACTATTTCTTGTTTTAAAAATAAAATGTTTTGATTATAATAATAATATATATGAATTAATTTTAATTTTTAGATTTGAAACTGGGTGGGATGAATTCAGTCTTGTTTTCTACTTTCCTTTTGGATTATGTTTAGTTATTGTACGCATCATCATCAGTTTACTATTGTTTATTATTGCAAATATACTTCCACGGCTATCTACTGTTCGATGGTAAGTATTGTATTTATATTAATTTAATATATTAGTTTTCTCTAGAATAAGTATATCAATATTTTTATCATATTTTAAATTTTTTCAGTTTTATGAAATGATAAAAAAAAAAAGCACAAAATTGCAAAATCAGCCAAAAATTGCAGTAATTATAGTTTGATTATTGAATAATTTAATAAAATAAATATTAGTTTTTTAAACTGTTTGTTAAGAAAGCCAAAAATAAGAAAAATAAGAATTTGTTCAAAATGTTTTCAGCCAACTTAGCTAACTTCATTCAAACATGTTCAACAAGTTGAGTTATATAATAGAGCATAATATTTTCTGTATTATGTTCTAAATTATATAAATCTATTATTTTAAAATTGATATTTTGTAGTAAAAAATTTCATAAATACATAATTCTTTATAAATATTCATTTCTTTTCTCTTTTTTTTAAACTCTTTCTGCCCTACGGGCACTAAGAGGGCCTCTTTTTAGCAGGCCAATTATGGATTCAGCCAGACCCAGAATGGGGCAGCCGGGTGGTGAGGGACAGGGCCCGACATATCCAGACAGACCACCCCCTGGAAATTTCCTGGGGATTTTTCGACCTGTTTGGAATTGATTCCAAGTCCCCCAGAGCAGTAGGTAGGCTGCTACCTTAACCGCTCAGCCATCCAGCCTATTTTTTTTTTCCCTATAGTTAGTAAGAGTATCTTTTCCTTTAATCATATGTCATCATGAACATATGAACATAACTAAAAGAAAATGAGTATGATTATGGATGAGTATGATGGATATGAGTAAAAGAAAATTGAGGAGATTGGTGAGGAATAAGATCAAACATTCAGGACAAGACCACCCATGAAAAATTCTTAGAGTTATTCTCCAGACTTGATCTCAAGTCTCTCAGAGCAGCAAGCTGACACCTTTACCATCTCAGCCATTTATATTTATTTATATCCTTATTTGAATATTATACATGCTTTTTCAGTTTTTTTTAAACATTTTATAAATATAATAAAAATGTAATTATATTTTTCAGATTTTTTAAATACAGATTATAATGTATCAAAAAACTAAATAGTAATAGAGAAATTTACATTCACGGTATGAATTTCATGTAACCTTCAAAGTTGTTGAATGCTATAGAAAAGTCATCTGCACTTAGAGATGATTTCTAGTCAAGAACACTTGTTTTTCAACTTTACTTAATTTATTATTTTGATATTTGATCCATATATTTTAATTTTGGAACAACTTTAAAATTTCAAGAAAGCAATGTTATATTATACCATTTAGACAATTAAGGGAAAATTTGAGCTATGCAAACATAATATCTGAGACATTTGATTTTATGTTTTCCAAAACTTTATTTTTAGTAATTGAAAATTAATGTCATGATAATATGTAAAACAAAACAAAAAATCATTCATTGTTTGTATACTTTTTCTGACAATTCAAATATTGTTTTCCATTTAAACTTAATATCAGTTTATTGCCAGATAAATTACAAAATAAGTAATTGATATAAAACAGTTCTTATATAACAGATAATTTTTGAAATTATATTTTGTATGTGAAGTAGTTGGACAAATTTTGGATAAAATGTTTTTCACCCTTTTCACACAACTGAAAAAAATTTAAATTTTTAGTCAATAAAAAAAATGAACAAAGATATTAACTAAATGTTAGAAATTATACAAATTACTCATTTTCATTTTTTATTCTAGAATTGTTCAGCTTTTTTAAAAAAACATATCATCATTCNACGTTAATTAATGAGCATATCAACTGAAATGCATTCATAGAAGAGATCAATGAATAAGTGGCAAACTTTTATATTAAAAATGATTTTAGACATTTGTGTTAATTAATTTTAATTATTACAAATTTAAATGATATCTATGTACTTGAAGATAAAGATAAATCTAACCTAATTCTGATTACAACAAATTTAGTTCTATAAATGTATTTTAATATAAATATTTTGAGATATGTTCTGATAATATAAATATTTTACAAGAAGCAAATTCTGTTATTTACATACATAAACTAATTTACATACTGAATTCATAAAATTCAGTTTATGTAATAGTCTGAATGAATACATCAATACAAATTAAATTTTAAGGACTGTGTGCTTCCTTATTTATCAATATATTTTATTAAAAACTAGCAGATAAGCCTGGCATTGCTCAGGCAAAAAGTAACAATAGCGAAAATTAAGATTATTAGATTATAGCTGACCTTACTCATTTTCACCGGGTGCAAGAATTAGGTTCATTCTCTTCTGAGACTAATTATAGAATTTTAGATGGGTCTAAAAATATGTTTGATTTCCCACAAAAGTGCAAAAAACTGCATCTAAAATAGTACAGTAGAATCTGAGTTCACGGTAATCTTTAACACTCTCCCTCTGCTCCCATGGGGGAATTTTGAAAAATCTCTTAGTGTACATTCTCATGAAATTTTGTAATCCTAACTGTGTACAAAATTTCAACTTTCAACTGCTAACCGTTTTGGCTCTGCACTTATTATTATTATTATCAACCCATCTCAATTATATATATATATAGATATGGTTATATAAGATGAGAATATAATTATGATGAGATGTGAATAAAAATATAATGAAAAAATATGATTATCCAAATATGACAATAATTTCTATTTATGATTATAATAATTTTTAAATAATTAGAAGTAAATTAATACGTTTTTAGTTATATATTAAAAATGATAAATCAGAAATAGTAAAATTTTTAAAATCAATTTAATTAGTGATTTGTTATATTATCACATATTTGACAATTTGTTATTCTTTCAGATTATTCTTAAAGTATATAGACCTGCAGGTGTAAATATTTCTCCGGTAAGTGTTATACTATTTTAATTAATATATAATTGTTTAATTTATTTAATAATGGAAATTTTTGTGATTAATTAAATTATATGATTTTTCTTCCAGTCCATAATTGGTAGTTCTTGGTACTCAGATTTATTCTGGATGTTTTTTGTTCCTTTCACCTGGTTTGATATAAAGTAAGTGTGATATAAAAACAGTGGTTAAGGATTTTACTTTTAATAATACCTACTAGCTTTTTTGCAGACATTTTTTACCAAATTGATTTACTTACTTGTGTTTCCATGCTACATGCCATCTAGCTAATCATGCAAAAATTTTGGTGAAAAAAAATTTTTTTCACTTATCACAGGCCCTGAAAAAATCACTGCCTTAAGCATGAGATCATATACAATTTTCTTTATTGTCACATGATTACATGCATAAATCAGAAATTTTTCTGTGTAACAACATCATTTTTGGGGACCTGACATTATCAAAAATGACAATATGGAGGTTTTGCATGATTGCTGCAAGAGGTATTCATGACATTAGAGATGTTTGTCAGCTATATTTTAAATTATTGAAGGTCATAGTGCACCAGGCTATCTTACAGAGACAAGCATTCAAGGTCACTAACTTGCAAATCTTTATGTCAGGCATAAAGATTTGCAAGTTGGTGACCTTGAATGCTTGTCTCTGTAAGATAGCCTGGTGCACTATGACCTTCAATAATTTAAAATTCAGAAATTCATGAATGCAACAAATAATTTTATACATTTATATTTTCAATGAAATGCATTTGTTAATTATTAATTTATTTTGATGTTAATTTCTTAAGCCTAAAGAAAAGACAACTAATTTTATAACAGTAATAGCACAATATTTTAATATTTATCTTATACGTTAAATAATTATAGAAAATTATTCATCATAACAGAAAAATATTTAAAAAGTTATATCACAAATATTTATGTTCTGCTATATTGTAGTATTTTGTAAATTCTAGAAAATTTAAATTATTCTGAAGAGTTAAATTTTGTAAATATAAATATGAAATTTGAAATTTTCAAATTTTAGATCACAATAAATATAATATTCAATGAGGCATTTCATAGAAATATAAATCTGAAATATTGTATATACAGTACTTATATAGGTATTTAAATATATATAAGTGTTTTGAGAGATTCAGACAATTCACAAACATATATATAGTTAAGAATAAAGCAGTAATAGTTTTATATTCAACTGATATGTATTTGGATTTCTAATTATCTGCTGCAAAATTTATATGGCCAAATATGAACACATTAATTTAGATATATTAATTAGTAACATATGAATGATTTGCATAAGTACTTAACAAATCTATATGTATAATTGATTTCTCAAAATATATTTACTTATATGGCAGTTATTTAAATGTAACAATAATTTTATTGATTTTTTTTTTAAATAAAGAAAATGTTGTTGTTATTAATTAAAATATGTAATAATGTTTGGTAATATTTATTTTAGATATCTTCCAGTAATGATCAGAAAAGATGAACAATTTTCTGAAGAATTTAGTTTGAGTGTTCAAACTATCATGGCTCAGGAATTAAATGTTATTCCCACTTCATATACTGTTAATGACAAAAATGATTATGCAAAACGTTTACTTACTGCTCAAATAATTCCTCAACAATCAAATGGTATGAAATTATATATTCTGAATAGTTTAAAATTGAATATTTTAATATATTACATAATTTTAAAATTTAACAGGGTGCTTTATTTTACACTGTAAATTAAATTTAAGTTGGTTAAATTTAAGTAATTGTACATTTTTTCTTTTTTATTTTAAGCGATATTTTTTTATTTTTGTATTTATATTGTATTTTTACTTCATATTCTTTTTAATTGTATATTATATTTTTATTTTTATATATGTCTCAAATTATGTAGTTATGAATAGAATTTAAAAATTGTAGTAACTTGTTTTCTAATAAATTTATTCAGAAAGATTAATATAAATGATATTTTTATTAAATATGTTAAATAAAAATTACAATTTTTTCAAAACAAATTGTATTAAAGAAATGAAAAATTAATAGACTTGCAATGTATATTTTATCATGAGTAGAAATTAAAAAAATGTAATTATATTTTTCAGATTTTTTAAATACAGATTATAATGTATCAAAAAACTAAATAGTAATAGAGAAATTTACATTCACGGTATGAATTTCATGTAACCTTCAAAGTTGTTGAATGCTATAGAAAAGTCATCTGCACTTAGAGATGATTTCTAGCCAAGAACACTTGTTTTTCAACTTTACTTAATTTATTATTTTGATATTTGATCCATATATTTTAATTTTGGAACAACTTTAAAATTTCAAGAAAGCAATGTTATATTATACCATTTAGACAATTAAGGGAAAATTTGAGCTATGCAAACATAATATCTGAGACATTTGATTTTATGATTTCCAAAACTTTATTTTTAGTAATTGAAAATTAATGTCATGATAATATGTAAAACAAAACAAAAAATCATTCATTGTTTGTATACTTTTTCTGACAATTCAAATATTGTTTTCCATTTAAACTTAATATCAGTTTATTGCCAGATAAATTACAAAATAAGTAATTGATATAAAACAGTTCTTATATAACAGATAATTTTTGAAATTATATTTTGTATGTGAAGTAGTTGGACAAATTTTGGATAAAATGTTTTTCACCCTTTTCACACAACTGAAAAAAATTTAAATTTTTAGTCAATAAAAAAAATGAACAAAGATACTAACTAAATGTTAGAAATTATACAAATTACTCATTTTCATTTTTTATTCTAGAATTGTTCAGCTTTTTTAAAAAAACATATCATCATTCTCTACATTAAATTATCTCATTAGCAAATTAGCAAATACTGTCGACAAAATAAACAGTTCAAAATAAAAATTAATATATAATGGAATAATTTCGTTATTTCTTTTTATCATTTTCATATTGAATATAGAATAGAACATTGAAATCAAGTTGATGTTGAAATTTAAATATCTGAAAATTACATAAAAGTATATATTTATTAGTTCTTTATCATAAGTTAAAAGTATTAAAATTGAAATTAGTTCATTATTTGATTTTTATTTTAAATTTGTATATTGTTAATGCTGTCTACTAATGAGATTGCACTTTTCAAGTTAAGAACAAGTTTTCATTTTAGTCACATTAAATTAAAGAAATAAATGTCATGATTTTGTAAAAAGTGATCACGACATTTCTTTCCTTAATGTAAAAATGATGATTTAAAATGTTTAAATAATAATCTCTGCTATTAAATAAGAAATATTTATTTTTTAAATATTTTCTTATATTCTGTATAAATAGTGAAAGTGAAGTAATTAAATTATTATTTTATAATTTAACTTTATTTTTAAAATTAGCTGATCAAAAATACTTTCAATTATATTAGTTTTATATATTTTAATTAAAAACTAATAATATATAGTTTATGTGTATAATAGAAATCATAATCAAAATCATATTACCAAACACAAGTCTAGACATTGGATTATGTCTACATTTAATTTGAAATATATTTAATTTTTATCTGTAATTGGGATATTAGCGAGGAGAATTTTTATTAGAGAGTTTCAAAAATGTGAAAAAGAGAATATCAAATTTTTTGTTATTTTCATTTTACTAATGAAAAATTCAGGAATCAGTATTTTACATAGTTTCTGAAAGCAGTAATTTCTTTTTAAAATTGAAATTATTTTAAATATTTTTAATCAATAATCAAATATTAAATATAATAATTGTATATTTAAATTAGATGATATATCATATTAGCAATATTGTTTTTCAGTTTCTTCCAGAACGGTTCATACTTATCCAAATACAAATCTTAATATTATGTCTCAACAAGTGAAGGAAGTTTTGCCATATGTGCCTATAAATGTTATTGAACAGGATTTAGGTAAGAAATGGATTCAGAATTTTCAAGAAATTTTTACTGAAAATAATTATTCTTCTGTCTTGTAGCTGTAACAGGCAGTATCAGTTTGACGATTAATCGAATTTTAGAAGGTAATGTTCTTTATATTCCTGAACCTGAAATTTCTGGCGAATCAAAGCCAACACAATCAACAGCTTCTCAATCTTCTAAAAATAATTTGAGTTCACAAGTAAGTATAAAGTTTAAAAAATATTAAAATATAATAATAAAAAAATATATTGTGCACATTACATTTGCAAGCTAACTTTTTTGGGTTTTGTAAAATAGGGTTTGCATTAGATTTGATGGTGCATCAGAATCAAGAAAACACACTAATTAAAACAGTTATGCTTTTATTATAGAATTTATATCTTGTATTTATACAGCATCATATTGCAAAAGATTTTTAAATTTACCTTTTGATACTCTTAAATGTTAAAACGATTAAAGGAAAATATTCGATATATAAAAGTGAAAATACAGCTATATAAACAAACTTATCAAAGAAATTTTTACAATATATTTTCAAAAGCCAAATAATCACTGGATTTTATCGGGCTATTTTTCCATAGTTATATTTAATTAATTACCAAATAAAATGTCTGGAAGAAGCAATCAGACTGGAGGCTTGGATAGTGTAACTGACAAAGCATCCACATGGTAAGTGGGAGTTTGGGGTTCAAGTCCCACTCTGGGCTGATTTATTTTCTTCCAGAACATTCTAAATTATATAATAAATATTAATTTAATTATAATTATTAAATTTAATAAGAGATGGTGCATAACGCCTTCCAGTGACTTCTGCATCTAGTGGCAAATTATTTAATAATTACTTAAATATAATCACAGAAAAGTAGCCAAATGTAATCCAGTAGTTGTTTGGCTTTACAAATTTATCAAATTTTGTGTTGTTTGTTTACAATATATTTTCATTATTATCTTTGCTACCCTAACAACAATGAATTTTAAACATTTTTAAAAAAACATCAATCAGCTAATATACACAAATTAGATTATTTGAACTACAGTATTTAAGTTCATTATTTGAGCACTTAAAATATTTGTTAAATTTATTAATGTTTTACTGACATTAATTTAAAAAATTCTTCCAGTAAATTTTTAACAAATTGTATTTACTAATTTTTGAATAAAACCAAAACATAATATAAATAAAATCTGTTTAAAACTTGGTCTTTTGGAGTCTAAGTATTTATTACATTTATATAATAACTAGCTGTTACCCGCAACTTCGTCCGCGGAGGTTTTGCAAGCAAACCACATTTACATTCAATATTTCAATAACCATAGTAATTGTTATATAACACCTACCGCTGAAGAGAATTGCTAAGAATCAAACAAACTATCTTCAATTTGATCAATTTTCTGGAACATTTACAATCATTCTATAATCGAACCAATATGCAATAACAAATTTGAATTTAAAATGGATCGAACATTTTTAATTAAAATCGAAATAGATAAAAATATTTATAACAATGTCTGAAATGTTATCAATTTAATACACCTAAGTACTCAACGAAGACTAAACATAGTTGAAAACAAAAAATCGTATCTAAAATAGTACAGTAGAAGCCGNAAACTCAATGTTTCTTATGATTAGTTTGGTTAGGACAATTAGGTTTATAAAATTTTTATTATTATTTACTTTATAGAATTATTATTACATACTAAATAATAAATTGCAACACTGATGTGGATGACCTAACTCTGATGCTTTGTGTTGTTTTGTAACACAAAAGTGAACAGGGACAGAACCCTAATATATTAATATAGAGGTATGAATTAAAAGTTTCCACACAAAACAGATAACTGAAGGAACATACTTGTGATGCATATTTACACACATCATCAGATCTCAAAGTGACAACAAATGTTAACATACAGTATGTTTGCCATGAGTGGGAGGAATGCATTTAATATATGTGTGTTCAATTAAATAAGAGACTGCATAATAAAAAATGAACTGTGTCAATGTAAGATACTTTTGAGTTGCTCCTTACTTACAGTTATAACTAAAATTAATAATTTAAGAAATAATGTAAATTAATTTTGTTTATTAATCAAAAATGTTGTTAAATTTTATTTTTTACTTAAGTTATTATTTATTATATTTACATAAAAATTGATATTGGCATAACCTAAAATATTTCATTCATATTGAAAATATATGAATTTTCTTTAAAAAAATTTAAATATAGTAATCAAATATAATGATGATAAATTTGTCTCTTCACTCACTGACATGAAATATTGGAATAGAAACATATTTTTTTTTTGAAAGAACAAAATGGTACAATTGAAATGGACATCAAGTATGTTTGCACAAAACTGAAATCTAAAAAGTGTAAAATATTGTATAATAGTGAGGTTGTGGCCAAAGTTTTCATCTCTAAACCGTGAGCATCTAGCACCACTGTCTTGTAAGCGACATTCGACATTCACGTTTTAGAGATGAAAACTGTGGCTGCAAGCAACCTTGATATTCTATGAGTCATAGAACTTCATACCAGTGTGTTTGATTAATTTAAGTGTCATTGCCTAATTTTAAAGATATTTATTATTTTGCTCCACATCATTTTAATTTATATTTTCTTCATTTTTACAATTGATTATTTTTTATTAAAAATTTTAAATAATATTTTAAATTACTTGATGAATATGTATATAAGTAATAATATTTATATAAAAAATTATTACCATAATTTGACCGTGCTGAAATGTTCATAAAGTAAATAGTAAAAAAAAATAAAAACACTGTGTTTTCAGTATTATCAGTTCTTAATAATGAGAAGAAATGCTCATGCAAGTATTTTCAACATTTACAAACATGACTTCCTCAAGCAAAAAGAACATATTCAAGAATGTTAATATAAATTTTTAAAAATTGTAATGTTAACACATTCTAGTTGGAACAAAATTAGGAAATTTGAATAGCTTGGAATCATTATCAAATTCAAACACAAGGTACGAATTGGTGCGCACATAGAAAGATAACCATGTAGAATTGAGAATAGTGTTATTTATTATGGTCAAATGAACTAAAGCCAAGAAGCAACACTTGTGACTTCAAATTAATCTTTTATGGGTATGAATAGTTGGGAGCTTTAGCATAGTTTATTACAGGGTTCTAGTTTTTCAATGAATAAAACTTCCCAGATAAAAATGATTTTGTGGTCCATACATTGCACTAGGAGGGTAGTTTCATTTTGAGCTGGTATAAAGTTGTGCTCTATTACTTTTTTAGCAAGTTTCATAGTATATTTCTTGTCTCATATATCACCCTGGTGCTCAAATATGTAGTTATGTAGTTTTCTTGTTTTGGTCCCAATGTGTATCACTGTTTTGATGCATTAAGGGAACTAGATAAATGCCCAGTTTTTCTAATGTGAAAAAAACCATCCCTGCCATTACATAGGATTCTATGCAAGTTCATTTGTGATTTTATTGGGAGTTGGAGCCTAAATTTTCTAAACTACCTTGCAATGCATAAAGAAACAGATCCAAAATAAAGAATAGTTGGGCTTATGAAAGAGATCCTTCTTCTCTTCAACTAAAGTTGTGGGAGGTAAAAGTGATTGTTGTACAATGATATTGATGTATTTAAACTTTTCATCAAGTATCCTGCATTACATAAGGCTGTAACAACAATGTGCAATTCCTAATGTACAACATTTCAGAGGAGGGAATTAAATAAGCTGTATGAACAAATACTGCAATAGCATTATTTATATGCATAGGAACTTGGAATTAGCATGTATGATAAGAGGACAATAGCTCTAATTTGTGATGTACCGGTACATCATAGTAAATGCCAGTAGGCAATGTATTTATTGTAACATCTAGAAAATGTATCTTGGTATCTTTTCCACTTTCTATTGTGAAATTAATTGAAGTCTATACTTTTGATAAATATACAAATTGTGATAGCACATTCTCTGTTTCATTTTATGCCAACAAAACATTGTCAACGTATCAAATGTATAATTGTGGATATTGGGATATGAAGGAAGCAGAAAATGCTGTAAACTCAATGTTTCTTATGATTAGTTTGGTTAGGACAATTAGGTTTATAAAATTTTTATTATTATTTACTTTATAGAATTATTATTACATACTAAATAATAAATTGCAACACTGATGTGGATGACCTAACTCTGATGCTTTGTGTTGTTTTGTAACACAAAAGTGAACAGGGACAGAACCCTAATATATTAATATAGAGGTATGAATTAAAAGTTTCCACACAAAACAGATAACTGAAGGAACATACTTGTGATGCATATTTACACACATCATCAGATCTCAAAGTGACAACAAATGTTAACATACAGTATGTTTGCCATGAGTGGGAGGAATGCATTTAATATATGTGTGTTCAATTAAATAAGAGACTGCATAATAAAAAATGAACTGTGTCAATGTAAGATACTTTTGAGTTGCTCCTTACTTACAGTTATAACTAAAATTAATAATTTAAGAAATAATGTAAATTAATTTTGTTTATTAATCAAAAATGTTGTTATTTCAGTTTCCTTCAGTTGCACCTAAAACATTTGGTAAAACACCTGAGGAAAGAATGATGTCATATCAAGAGAGAAAAAGACTTCTTATCAGCAATGCGCGGAGAAGGTATCTTCAGAAACATGCTGCTATTTAAATAAAGGATGTGATTCATTTGAAGATATGAAACATCTAAAAATAAAAATAAAGTCTAGAATTGGATTTTTAATAATTTGTATCAAATCAAAGTTGTTATTTTATTTTATTCCCTATTTGGCTTTCATTATTAGACTTGTCTGAATATACAATATGAATACATATATTGAATATATATATATATATATTTTTAGTGAAAAAATAGAAAAATTTCCCATACAGATTGTCAGATCTTGAAATTTCCGTTAATATTTATATTTAAAAAAAGTAATCATTCACAAATTAAAACAAAAACTATATATAAATGTGTATATATATATATTTGTACTTCTTGGAATTAGTATTGCTAATAAAATTTATAAATTAAAATTTTTATAACTCTGTAAATGAATTGATCTATTTATCATAGATGTAATATTAAGAAAATAATA